GTTATGATGAGTCCTCCGATTGAATAGAATTAGAATTTTATTATAAACAATTGTCTTGTAAATGAAATTTTTAAAGCATTCTGAATGTATAAATAAAGAAAAAAGTGTGCAAGACAATAAGAAACACTACCTGCCAAAAAAAAAAGTGGATGTTTGTTTTATCGGCTGAAAAATGTAAGAAATCCGATCCCATATATAAAAGAACACACACACACACACAAACAACCTGGGTTTTTTAACCCGATGTAAGTTGTCCCCCTTCCATTCTCACGATGTGTCTTAATCGTGTTTTCAAATTGATTTTGTTAAAAAAAACAATTGTGTTTTTCCCATTTTCGATGCCGTTAGAACCACCACAAGGTAATTTTATGTAGTCCTGTGAAGTTTTGTTGAAATCGGCTAAAAATGTAGGAAATCCGATCCAATATATAAACGTTAACACACACACACACACACACACACACACACACACACACACACACAAACACACACACACACACACAATCTGCGTTTTATAATAAGTAAGATTCAATGTCAAAGAAAAGGTTCATAAATTTTTCCTAAATAGAGAAGCGGCCCTCCTGACAAACACTACATACCAAAGATATAGTTCTACCTATCTAAAACTAACACAAATTCAATTAAAAAGGATTTATCTAAACTCAACATCAAATTTGTCTCAACTACGTCTAAAACAATACAAGAGTTAATACAAAAACAAAATAATTAATTAAACTTGAAGGAGGAATTGACCCAGTAATAATTGCCACAAGTAATACATAAGAGAAACCGCAAGGAATTACGAAAAAATAAAAAAATAAAAAAAAAGATTATCTGAACGGAAAAGGGTTCTTTAAAAAAATAACAAATCAAATCAAACATATTAGTTAGTGACGGAAACGAGACTGACCACAATTTTGATTTTAAAACTGCTACTCTAATTAAAAGAGGAAATAATTTACTGCAAAGAAACTGTTTAAAAATACTTTAATGGCTAGATTATCAACAGTAAATTTACGTGCAGGTCCATACAACGTTACGAGTTATTAACACAATGTGGGATATTTACTCAAACGTTATGGAAACATAAATACAAAGTACCTAATTTAAATAGCATCCCAGTCCGAATAATTCTCATAGAAATGAAATTAGTAAACGACCCACCGGAACATCCTGTGGGCCTTGAAGATATGCCACCACGACCCGAACAAGCGCATGCCGAGTGTGTTGGGGAAATTGTCTCAATTTTATATTTTTAATTCCGTGAATACGCTTTACTTGTTCTAGGTTTTGTCCAATGCACAGTATAGCAGGGTCAGTTGATATCTGTGAGAAATGGAGCACCATGATGCTATTCACAGTGCTTTAAACTTGGAAACGGATGCTGTATTGCTTGGCATTCGCGCTGGAAGCTCCAATACGAACATTTCGGAGTGTTTCGGTGTCAATCTGAGGAGAGTGCAGAAGATAAGTCTAATGCTGATTAAAAAGATATGGCAGCTCGGGAAACTCACTCTGATCATTCTGATAAGAAAATAATTTCCGGATTTTTTGATGAGGGCTTTAGACTCAGCACGGAAGACTGCATCAAGTGCCTTGAGTCAGTAATGTTGCCCTGGATCAAGAAGATGGCTGCTACAAGAACCTATGGCTGGAAACAGGACTCTGCACCATGATACACAAACAGGAGAACCCAGTCATGGCTGTCAGACAATTTCTGCAACCCCATCACCCCTTACATCTGGCTGCATAACTCCCCAGAATGTAGCAGATTGATCATTATGTATGGGGCGTAGTTGTAGTGAGGTAAGGATTATGGCAGCATTGACCATCTTGAACAAGGAGACTGTCCAGAAGAGTTGCAGAAGATTCCGAAGTTGTCTAGAGGCCGAGGTTGAAGCCAATGACGATTTATGCTGACTAAATTTACTCTGCAGTATTTAAAGATATTTTTGTGTAATTTTGGTAAATATATTTGTTAAAATAAGATATCAATTTTATTTTCATTTTGACTACTTTAGGCGACAACTTATCCAACGCTCTCTCTCTCTCTCTCTAAATATATATATATATATATATATATATATATATATATATATATATATATATATATATAGAACCGTCATTTACGCTGACGTGCCTTACCAATCGGCCACAAAGGGCGTTCGGTAAGGCACGTCAGCGTAAATGATTCCATATATATATATATATATATATACGACATATTTTTTTTATGTTGATACGTTCTTTTTATAGATACAAATATTTAAGCAAATGCTCAGTTTATAATAAAAAGTATTAAACAATATTTACCGGCCTGAATGTCCGAGAAATTTTCATAGAAAAAATGCGTCCTCCGACAGAAATCGAGCCTATATCCTATAGGGAACGGTCATATAGCCTGACGTGCCTCAACCGATTGGGCCACAGAGGAGCGTTCGGTCAATTTTACTGTTTTTAAACCACAATTCTCCATGATTTTCTCTCATACATTCATATC